GACTGTGGAAAAAACGGGCATTGTCGTGCCGGCTGAAACTTTTTCTCCCCCTTCCCCAAGGCTGTCATTATAAATCTGCCCCCTATTCCCCGTAATAAAAAAAAAAAAAAAAAAAAAAAGGAGGCGGGCACAAAGAACATTCCTGCCAAATCTGTCTCTTCCCTGAAGGACTGCAAGCTTCCAAATGCCAACGAGGGAGAAACAGCTGAGAGGCAGAACGCCTTATAAATAAGTAAACCCACCCTAACCTCTCTGTTTACCTCGTGGACTAGACACAGCACTATAACCTTCCCTCACCTGCCATCTTCGCTAAAATATTTACAAAATTACGGAAAAACAATCCCTGGGGGCGGGGCTGGCGGGTTAGGGGGTGGCTGAAGCATGGAATCTGGTTTTGATTTAAAAAGAGGAATAAATCTCTTATTCTCTGCAGACCGTAGTCTCTTCCCTCTCACCCCGCCTTTAAGACCAATTAAGGCTACAAATTGTAATCTGCTGGCAAGTCGCGGTTTTGAGACCTCATTGCTCCAATTTTCCTTGAAATACAGTACTTTGGCCGGACCAGTAGGTCAGTGTTTGGTGAGACAATTTTATTTTTAGTTTTATGAAGTGTGAAAGAATGTTAGGAGATTTTAAATCAGGGCCCTATTATTTTAGACTCAGATTAATGTAGGTGCTTGACTCTTAAAATTAAAACTGTTCCTATGCAGTAGTGTTATGAAAAGTATGATTTATCCCTTATTTCGTAATGTAATGGCTTAAATTAGTCATTCAAAGTGCACTGTGACTATCTGGTTGAGGATTTTTCCCCCTAGAGTAAAATCCTATTTTAAGACCATTTTACTATTGCAAAATTGACTCAATTTGAGCAACTGGGTCTGAAATGCAGTTCTAGGATGCTTAAAACTTCAAGCTGGATAAGTTGAAGACAAGAAGTAATGGAAAGAACGCCAAATGCTGCCATGTAGTAATTAAGAAGCAAGAATTGTTTATATCACTAGTCCACTGCTGGCTGAAGGAGAGCCCACCAGGGCACCATTTTCATGATGGCTAGGAGTGTTGGTGATCACCCACCCCATAGCTTTCTAAGGTCTTATTACTTGCTTGTTAACTTTAGCTTCATCATTTTCTGTCTATCTTGAAGTGAACCTCAAGACAACAAAAGATAATACGGCTAAGAGAAATAGAATATAGTGCGCCCTGAAGGATGCATTGTAAGAACTTGCTTTTCTGCCTGAGGATATGCCGGTGTAACTCTTAACTGAGAAATATATAGTGAGAAATTTTAAGCAAGATTAGTAGTGTAGTAAAAGTGTAACATAAATACTAACTTCTAACTGCCTAATAAGTCGCAACTAATAATATAGCCGGATGACCTAGCTGTCTCTAATAAAGAGATTTAACCTAATAGCAATGCTTATTACATTGAGAGTATTAGGTTTTAATTTTTTAGGGTCTTAATTTGTTTCCCTGGCATGCCAACCTCACATGCCAATTTTCAGAAATTGATAACTTCACTTTCATTCCCTTGTGAATAAATGCCCTTTATCCCTTTAAGATTCTACCTCCACTTGCCATGCAAATCCTCAAAAAACAAAAACAAAACCCAATCAATTAGTAAGTCCCTGGAGAAAGAAACTGTCCATTCCTTCTGGCATTTTGTCAGAGGGAAAGTAAAGAAGAAAACATTCCCTTTGTTATATGTGTATATTCTTCAGCTCATACAAAATTTTGATGTTGTCCTTGGAGGCATTGGTGTCCATGTATTGTATATGCACAGCTATGGGAATTGAAAATAAAATATATCATTGGGAACAGAGATTAAATATAGATATTGCATCTCCCTCTCCCTTCACATTGGTCTAAGAAAGCACCACCTTCCCCCATCACCCTTCAAGTCTTTCCTCTAAAAATTCATCTTGTTTATAGTTTGTACCCCAGCAGTTAGGAATTTTATAAAATAAGGCCTAAACTCAGGAGAAATGAAAAGGCAGCATCATTCACTTGGTACAAAAAGAAGATTGTAGAACATATAGCATGAGTTTCACCTCTGAGGTAAAACGAAATTTAACAATTGAAGTTAAGGAGGAAAATGATGGGGTTTTTTGTTTTGTTTTGCAGAAAATCATACAAAAGCAAATGTGGTTGGAGGGTAAAAGGACTCCAGGAGGCTGCACAGAGTGCTACATTCACACGAAGCTTTTCTTTTTGGACTTTGATGAGTCATAATGTGTTCTCTGAACTTGCTTTTCTCTTTCTAGTTTGGTATCAAAAGATAGAAGTCACTTTTTCATGTCTGTATGGCCACGTTCACTTGTTATGTAAGTCTGCTTTGGTTGGCATTCTGTATAGAGGAGATATTGGATTTCAAACTTGATATCTGGATACAACACCCTCATAAAGAATAATTCCATGCACAACGTTAGGAAGCTTCTAGTCCCAACAGACAAACTGCTAATGCTGCCTGAAATGTTGCCTAGCTTCAAACATAAGCAGGTAAGACCATTTAGGCAGTGAGTATTTCATCTTCAGTAATGGAAACCAAGCTTTGACAAATTGAATCAGCGGACATTTAATTTAAAGAATAGTTTAGAATTAGCAAGTAAATTTATTACAGAAATCAACACTCCTCTCTCTCCATTTTTCTTTTTTTTCTTTTTGAGTCAGAGTCTCGCTCTGTTGCCCAGGCTGGAGTGCAGTGGCGGGATCTTGGCTCACTGCAACCTCCGCCTCTCAGGTTCAAGGGAATCTCCAACCTCAGCTTCCCAATTAGCTAGGATTACAGGTGCCCACCACCACACCCAGCTAATTTTTGTAATTTTTGTAGAGACAGGGTTTCACCATGTTGGCCAGGCTGATCTGGAACTCCTGACCTCAAGTGATCTATCTGCCTCTGCCTCCCAAAGTGCTAGGATTACGGGTGTGAGCCACCACACCCCGCTATCTCTTTTTTTCTAATGGGCATGTTCAATAAATTATGTTTTTCACAATCATTCCCCTAAGATACCACCCCCAATTCTCTTTATGATTATATCGTTCTTTAGCTTAAAATCCTTTGTCTGTTCCCAATCCATTTTACGATAAGTTTCAAACTCCTTGGCATGTTATCCTAGGCTGTGCATGGACAGGTCTCTACCAGCGTTGTAGACCCCGCTGCCAAAATGCTTGGGCTCAGGGAAAACCTGTCTACCGTTTGGTTCCTAAGTGACCACATTGGACATTTTCCCCTCTGACTAAAGTGCAGGTCCTCAACTCACATCCTCAAGACTCAACTGTGACCCAGAATCCTTCTAGTGGTCTTCCCTGTTCTCCCCAGGCAGAGGAAGCTGCTTGTCCTACTCTGCTCCCATAGCAACCAGTGTGCACCTCCATTATAGCACTTATCACTTGGATGCAATTATTCGTTTGGTGTTGTCCTCTAGATGGTTAGTGCCTGAAGGGTGTTTCGATTCATCTTTGAAACCTCAGCAATTAGCCTGATACCTAGCACACTGTATTTAAAAAAAAAAAAAAAAAAACTTTATTGAAGGAAAGGATGAGAGATAGATAATAAAATTACCTGACATAGAAAATTTAGCAGGTCTTCACTATTAGTAATTATCATGTTAATGAACAACATCAATAAGTGTTCCGAATCTTTACATTCTCTGCCAAGGCTTGAAAAGGCTTGGAAAATGTTTTTGGTTTTTGTTTTATTTTGTTTTGGGGAGGGCTGATGTGGGAAGATGAGGAGAAGCTACAGCTCTTGTAGTTATAGAAAGAGCACTGACAAGTGGTTTTGTTTGTTTGTTTTTAAATTAGGATAGGAGTAACATGAATGCATACATGGCAATTGTTTAATACAGTAATAATAATTATAATTGCAGCTCCTTTTCATTTCTGTTTTAAATTACATGCCTGAAGTTGTGCAGAGACTTGTACATATGTTGTTTAATCCATTTAACCCTATGAGATCTATGACTTCATCTCCATTTTACAGGTGAGGAAACTGAGAATCAGGAAGTAATTTGCCTAAGGCAGCAATCTCCAAAGTGGAGTGACCAAGACAATTCATTGTGATATAGGAAGAGCAGAAGAAATTGTTTCTTTTTTTCTTTGATAATTAAAAAAAGTAATGATGCCAGGACAAAAAAAAGAGCTTTATTTGTATTTATTATACTCATTGACCCTTGACCCTAGAGTCTTTACATGGTCCCTAAGTAAACTGGTCATGTGTCATGTAGTGCAGCTGAAGAGTACTGAAAAACAAAAAGCGCCACAGGCAGAGGGGTGATACTGGCACCTTCTGGTTCTTTCATTGTCATTGACATCTTTTTAAGCATTGATACTGCCTCAAGTTTGCAGGTTCCACGTTAAATAAATTCATAAGATTATATCATCTAGTTTTAACCAATCAACTCTCTTATTTGGAGAGCAAGTGGCTTAAAAAACAATTCCTGTGAAGAAATAGAAGATTGAGATAATACCAGTAATATAAGCACAGGTGAAAATCAGGATCAAATTTGCCAATTTAACCTCTAAG